ATCCTCTGCAGATGGCAGAGTAAGAATAAAGGAAGAGATGAAACGTGTGTCTTGGTGCCTTATTTGGCCTAAATATCTTGAGAAAACCCATAAAAAGACTCCAATGGTGCAGATAATAAAATGTTTACATGCAATAATTTGCTATTGTTAAAAGGTTAAGGATTTTTCCTACAAAGCTACCCTTAACCTTTATTCCCCATAGCCCATTTAACCTGCACGCTCAGGGGAAATATTTATTATGAACATCCCAATTCATTCTGTCAGTTGATGTGCACCCAATGGTGCCTTCAACATGAAAAGTGAGGAATAATTACAAGAAAAGAATTATGTAGCTCATTAGCAGGCAGCAGTAACTGAGCTCAGCATATTAGTAATATAAGTCTCAGAAGCATCACACAAAATATTTTCCAGGGTCTTTTCAAACATCATTAGTTGCAGTGAATGCAAACAGCAACATCCTGTCCTTTAATATCCAATGAAGAAGGTCACACAATCTCCTAATGATGTCATATATTTTAGCAGCGACTTTAATAAACCTGCCATCTGATTACAGCTAATTTTAGCCCCTACCTCTTGTTCCTGGCTACTATTTATTGACCTTTCGTTGGAACAGTTGGGACACTGTGGTGGCTAGAAAGCAGCTCTGAACAGTTGTGCTGAATCCCTCTGGCATATACCCTTCTGGATGTCAGACATGATTACGTAACAGAAATGATTGTTCTTCCATTGATGTTCTTTCAAAAAAGGACAAAAAATACTAAACTTTGATAATCTAGCAAACAACTTAAGCTCTCTGTAAAACCAGCATGCAGGTATGCAGCTGTGTAGCTGCATACCTGCATGTGTCACACCCAGTTCAAGAAGAAATAATGGCTTAATTGGAATACTTTAAATCAGTAAGGACACTTAAGCCATGATGGAAGTGCTTCAGGGCATGCCATAATAAGTGCCTTCTGAATAGTGCTGGCAGTAAGGAAGGAGCTAGGAATAGGGAGCGGTATGCTTCCTAGTGCACAATTATCTAGCATAGGGACCTGCTGACATTCCTAGCCGCCCCAAGGAGGGCCCACAATCCTTTGTGTGACAAAACTGCCACCTCACAGAGTTCAACAAAAACCCATTATTTCTTATTACTCTACGTGACACATGCAAATGTACATACCTTCATATGTTTTGGGTTTTATAACGGAGAGCCCCAGTCTTTATTTACATTTAGGGAGCTCTGCTTTTTTGTAGTTCTTTTCTTAAATGCTGTAGTCCCAATTTCACCAACTACTACTAACTATCGGAGCACAAAGGCCTGTGTCGTATACCCAAAAACAGTTTGATTATCAAAAACTGAGGAGACAGAAGTTAAATTTTTGTAGGGCCTCGTTACTGCTGGTAAAAAAAAATTTTCATTATATGGGGGTGTGATGGTCTGGGAAATCTTTGTTTTTTTACGACCTGAATGACTGGCCATATATATATATATATATATATATATATATA